TTTGTAAAACCATTTGATTTAAGCAAATAACATTTTTCTAAACACATCTATAATAAATATAAAAAAGTATTAGGGGAAAGGCGCCTATAATATCGCTATTTGTTATTTCAACTATTATGGCATACTTAACTTTGAAGCTTCGTTATTCAGTATCCTGAAGACCAATAACAAAAGTTTTGATATCGATACATTCCTTGTTATGTGTAAAACAATAATATTCTTTGGAGTTTCAATCAGTTTTATTTCTTTTATAAATTATTCCAAAAAAAAGCACAAGTATGCCATCACAGGCAACCTATGCTCCTATGATGGCATAGGGGAGAATGGGGCTGGTTAGGATCAAAAGTAACTTGATGATTTCATTTAACCTTAGAGTCTTTCCTTAGCAAATCCAGAAATTACTCGAAACCATTCTAGTTTACGATTTCATGCTACACAGAAGCATTGTAAAGTTTCGCGCATGCGCATCAGAGATAATGCGTTTTATGTATTTTTTGATCCAAAAAAAAACTTTTTGAGCATCGCTTTCTTTTTACTTCACTTAAAATTAAGTTTTTCGTATAAAAAAAAGAGGTTTTTCTAACTTGTCAATATTGGAACACACCCAACTCGTCAGTATGTCATCATGGGAATAAGTCATCATTTTCATTAAAACAAGCTGTGTCTGTTTTGTTCAAAAGATAAAATTAAAGTAAGTATTCCACTAAATGCACAAATCTTAGATATAAAATGCATAAAAATTCCATTTTTGCACAGTTAATAATAAAATCACAATCTTAAATATACGAAGGAAATAAAACTACAACACCACATCCCAAAATCGAATTTTGTTGGTTATAAAAAAAATATTTGTGCACATGGTACGTATTTTCACTAAAACTAGTGTAAAGTCTGTATAGTCATGTAGGTCTTATCACTTTTTCACCAAGACTAATTTTTATGGAAATATGACCGGAATGCCATCATAGGCGCTATCCCTTCATAGGCGCCTTTCCCCTATATAAAGGGGAAAAACCATTATTTTTTAACTAAACTTTAATGCTAAAAAGTATTGAAAAGATAATTTGCAAAAGGTAGAACTAAAAACAAGGTTGCAGCCAAAAGGGCAGATTATAGTTATTTTTAGACGAAGGCATGTATTACGACATAACGTATTACGGTATAACGACATGTATTAGGTCAGGGTTGCAGCACATGCTGTTAAACAATCAAAAAGATATGAAAAGCACTTTTTCCAGAGGAAAAATTTGTTGGAGGATTTTAAAAATTTGTTTAAATAACAAAAGTGACAAATCAAAATAAAAGCTATGGGGAGAATTAGCAATGAAAAATACAAAGATGGGGACGTAAACAAGTTGTTTATTGTTTATGCTTAGAAGATGATGTGGCTGATAATGATGTGGCTGATGGCTGATGATGATGATGATGGCTGATGATGATGATGTGGCTGAATCTCATTCAAATCTTAAGAAAATTCTCACTATTTTAAAGCTAAAGAAATTAAAAAACTTTTAAGCTTTTAATATGAAATCGGTCAATATATTTTATAGAATTGAAAATGATTTAAAAGTGGTCTAAGAGTGTTAGCGAAAATGAACGGTTTTATCAAGAATGCGTTTGAATTTCTTTTACTTATGTCAAATTTCAATCCAAATTTAAAGATGAAATTTTTGGTCAACGCAGGTTTCTAAATTTGTACATTATTTTTTTATTTTATTTTTTATTTTGTTCTTTATTACAATATTTAATACAATATTTACAAATATATCAATAAGAAAAATTATATGCAAAGAAAACGTTAAAAAATAAAAAATAAAGATAAATAACGCGGATACTCAAAGAAGACCATACAGGCCTTGTCACTGAGAACCGCTCTTGAAGAACTTTGAACTTAATTTAGATTTTAGAAAAAACAAAAATAAATAAATACAAATTTTAAACTTTTCTTTAATTATGGTGTTTATGGCTTTAATTAAAATACTAGTTCTTCTGAACCGCATGACTCAAACAAAAACAATAATATCATAATATTCTTGATTAACAAATACGTCTCGCAACATACTCACATCTATACGATTACTGAATCTTGTTACTCAAATGTATCTTACAATTACACTAATCTTAATTGTTAATTAATTAATGAATAAACGAAAATAATAAGATTATGATTGCACTAGGTACATCCAAATACATTTCAAGGTTGTCCAAAAGATTCTGTAGAAGAATTTAAAAAGCCAAATGATGGTATCACTGTGTGTGTAGCTAAAATTATCAAATGTTGGTGCGTCTACGTTTACGCTTCCACCGACAAATATGCTAAACCACTGTCAAAGGATGGTTAACTTCATACATACAATATTTGCAGATACATCCATTCACATACATCAAATTTTTTTTTTAATAATATATATATATATATATACATATATATATATATATATATATATATATATATATATATATATATATATATATATATATATATATATATATATATATATATATATATATATATATATATATATATATATATATATATATATATATATATATATATATATATATATATATATATACATTTTTTTTATTACAAAATTAAATTTAATATAAAAAGTATATACCGTTCGTAAAACAAACTTTTAACAAATATTACGAATTAAAATATATTATGATTTTAAACAGTTTTGGGAGAGTGGATACAATGTTTTCAGTAGCATCAAGGGCGTATTAATAGATGGACGTTAGGGTGGGTCGTACTTTTAAAATTTTGGATGTGGGAGCGCGCGCAATAATTTTTTTATGTATTAGGATATTAGAAGAGACGTGAATAATTTTTTTTCTTCTTAAAAAGTTCACCTATTGTGGGCGCAGGGCGTTTGAAAAATGTCAGTTTTACGAAAAACTCATTATATTACAAATACGGTTGACGTATGAAAAAATGTCTACCATTATGAATTTTACAAAAAAAATATCTATATATAAATGTTAGAAATGGGATTGCGCATATAATAACTGGAAAGCGCATCTCTATTATCTAAAGTGAAGCTAATTTTTTGTACGGCCGCCATATTGGAAAGCCCCAGAATATCAAAAATACAGTGATTGCACTTGAAGATGTACCTTTTTACTTCGTTTATATCTACTCGACCAAGTCACATATTTCAATAATATTATTATATTTAAAATGTTTGAAGGTGTTGTTGTTGTTGTTGTTGATCTATTATTTAGAGTTGATAACGCTTGAGCAACCATGTCAGAAGCACTGTTCAGTTCATCATATCCAATAATTTAGTAATCTTTGTAGCCAGAGACGTATTTACGGGGGGGCCAGGGGGGGCTTTGGCCCCCGGGCGCCATGTTTTGACAGGGCGCCAGCTTTCAGAATGTTAGAATTTTAGAAAATTGTAAAATAGTCTATTTATATCATTTCACGAAAATTTTTATATTATTATTATGTTCAAATCATAGACCTACTTATCGACTTACTAAATATCTCTAGTTGATTTTAGAAAATTTTAGTTAGCAAAAGAAAATATCAATCAAAAGGAGATCAAATTAAACTTGCAAATTATACATAATTATGCGCCAATTATTCATCTAAAAACGTTGATTTGATACTGAAAGTCACGTGTCTAAACAAATTATTTATTTATTATAAATATTTTAATGATACGGTATGTAGCGATAGCTTAACGGTTAAGCTCATCACTCTGACGCTGGCGCTCCGAGGTCTACTCCTACGAGTGTTCTTATTTAATATACTATCTAATCTTGATATAAATAAATTTTTTTTTTTTTTTTGAATAAATGATTTATAATTTTTATTAATCAAATACTTGATCCTTATTTATTAATTAGTAAATAATATACTAGAAAAAAATAAATGGTGCGTTTTACCTAACATTTTCATTTTACTCTTAATTGACTTTATTAACAGAAATACTTAGGTATACACAGCTATTTACTTTTAAAAAATGAAATAATTCTTCAAAGATTCTCTTTACATTTTCTAAAAAAAAAAAACTCTTTAAAAATACTTTAAACTTTAAATAATCAGTTTGTTTTTTAATTTATTTTTATATAATTTGAAGTGATGAGCAGAATAAATTACGCATTAATTATATTAAATTAGCAATTTGACTTTGATCGCCTTTTTTGCTAACCATCTTGTATATACCACGTGTGCACAATATAATTTTGAATTTTTAAGATTGCTGTCAGTTTTTTTTATTGTTGGCCTAAGTATTTTGTTCTTCGGTATGTTGTCTGCTTAATCCCTTGTATTACAGTATACAGTCTTGAAAAAGGTAAATATTTGTATTTCGATTATTGTTTTTAGTTTTAGTATTAACATTATTGTTATCATATATATATGATAACAATATATATATAATACACACTTTTTAGGATTCTTATTTTAAAAAGCAATGATGATTCATAGTAAAAAGCTTAGTGGCGCAGAAAACCGAAAACGAACCCATGCAAAAAATGAAGCTCAAGCAAAAATACTTTTAAAGACTGCTTAGTTAGAAACATATTTTAGCTTTACAGATAAACAGCTTCACACATCGCCGGGTAAGTTTATTTAGCTAGAAAACCATACGTTTTATTAATTTTGCTTTCTAGCAAATATATATACATATAGGTACATATTGTTCTGTTATTTATTGTTTATACTTCATATTGTTATGTTATTTATTATTAAATGTAAATAATTTATATCTAAAATGTAGATATGTGTAGTAATCGTTATTTATGCTTTCAGTTGAAAATGTAAATAATACAAGCGATGAAAATGATCACAGCTTTATTGTTAATGAGAATAACCTATCAAATCCAGACGATTTAATATTAATATTATCAAGTAAGAGCCGTACTGAAACTAGTAAAACTCTATTGACTCCAGAATCCAAAGAACTAAATGAAACACCCTGTTTGTCCATGCATGAACATAACAAGCCCGAATGTTTATTGTAAAATCTTTATTTAAAATTTGATATAATTTATAAATAATATCTTTTGGTACATGCATGTTATACAAAATTTATTTTATATTTCTCTATAGAAACCAAAATGATCACAGATTCACTGTTAATAAAGATAATCTAACAAATCCAGACAATCTTATATTACTAAATAACAGCAGCACAGAAACGAGTAAAACTCTATTGTCTACAGAATCGGAAGAAATAAATGATACACCACGTTTGCCAATGGTTGAACATAACAGTCTTCCTAAACAAAGTATTGTTCCTGAGTAAGCTTTTTTTAATTTTTTTCATGGTAGGTTACAATTATAAACATGTACAAAGGTAGACTATTTTTTTAAGTCGCTTGTCATGTAAAATTATGCTGGAAATTAAATTATTAACAAATATAGTACACTCTGTACATTTTAAACGATACCTATACCCTCTAGTTATATTATATTATGCATTTATCTCTATTACCTAATGCTTGAATATTTTTTTTATACAATTTGTTATAAACTTTGAATAATATTTTTTGGTTTTTGTATATTAAACAAATATATTTTCCCTTTAGAAATGATCCTGCCAATTGGATAAAAAATCAAGAAACGATAGATTATTTATCAATCAATGGATTTAACCAAAATTTAGAGAACAATAATTTCCAAAAGTCAAAAAGAATTTACACTCAAATAATTGGTGGGGTAAGACGTACTCGTTTTCGATATATGTCAAAAAGTATATTTATATCTACTCTTGTTAATGGTGAAAAAATTAACCGAACATTTTTGATTTACTCAGAAAGTAAAGGATCAATATTTTGTGCTCCCTGCTATATATTTGGTGGCACTACATCGTTTGCCACAGTTGGTTTTTCAGATTGGAAAAAAGGAGAAGAAAAAATCAAGCGTCATGAAAATTCACAACACCACAAATTGTGTGTAATGAATATGAAAGAAAGAAAAGAAGTATTAAATCGAGTTGATCAAAAGCTAAAGTATCAAGTAGAAACAGAAATAAATTATTGGAAAAATGTATTGACAAGAGTTGTAGCTGTTGTGAAATCCCTTTCTTCTCGTGGAATGTCTTTTAGAGGTGATGATGACCGTTTTGGATCTGTTCATAATGGGAACTTTATGATGAGCTTAGAGCTTATTGCTCAGTTTGATCCTTTTTTAGCACAACACATTTAGAAGTTTGGAAATAAAGGAAAAGGTTCAACATCATATCTATCATTTAATATATATGAGCAGTTCATAAGTATAATGGCAGATAATGTTATTCAACAAATGGTGAAAGAAATAAAGGAAGCTAAATACTTTTCCATCAGTATTGATTCTACTCCTGACATTAGCCATGCAGATCAACTGTCATTCATTTTTCGGTATGTTCAAAAGAATGGCTGTCCGGTAGAAAGATTTTTAGGGTTTTTACCTAATTCTGGTCATAAATCTGAAGAATTAGCAGATGCTGTATTTTTAGTTTTAGAATCGCATGGATTAGATATTAATAATTGTCGTGGTCAAAATTACGATAATGCGTCTAATATGTCTGGTAGATACACAGGACTTCAAGCTCGCATTAAAAAAGTTAATCCTTTAGCAACATTTGTACCATGCTCGGCACACTCTTTAAATCTTGTTGGTGAGTGCGCTGTGGACTGTTGTATTTATGCTTCTGAATTTTTTATTCTGCTTTAAAATATTTATAAATTTTTCAGTGTCTCTACTTATAGATGGGAAATACTTCAGAAGAATTTGATTAAAACAGAAAATGTATCTCTTAAAAAACTATCAGATACCAGATGGTCAGCAAGATCTGATGCAAGTATTAGTTTAAACAAAAGTTGGATTGAAATAATTAATGCACTGTCTTTTATCAAAGATGATAAAACAGAAAAATCTATTACAAGATCAGAAGCTAACGGGCTATATTTAAAACTGGATAGTCTTGAAACAGCTATAATGGCCACATTATGGGGCGATATACTAGAGAGATTCAACAAAACTAGCAAACAATTGCAGTCAGTTGAGATTGATTTAGAAACAGTTGTAAGTTTATACGAATCTTTAATTCGATATGTATTAGATTTAAGGAGTATGTTTGATATCTATGAAGAGAGAGCAATAAATAAGTCAGGACACAAAACATATCGAAAAATACGCAAAAGAAAAAGAAAACTAACTGCAGATGAAAAAAGAGAAGAAGAAACAAATTTTAAAATTCGAGACTCTTTAAGAATTAATACATATTATGCTATAATTGATAAACTTCATTCTGAACTAGAAAGAAGAAAATTGTGCTATGATGAAGCCAATAAAAAATTTAACTTTTTATTTCAAATAATAAAACTTTCGCCATCAGAAGTTTACAAAAAAGTAGAGGTACTTCAAAATGTATATAAAAATGATCTTTCGTCTTCATTTGCTAACGAGTGTATACAATTCAGAAGTTATTTAATGAGTTTAACTGAAAACTTAAGACCTAAAACTATAATAGATGTTTATAAAATGATCAGAACTGAAAAACTTCAAGAGCTGTTTCCTTATGTAGATATAGCATTAAGAATATATCTATGCTGCCCAACGTCCAATTGTTCAGCCGAGAGATCATTTTCAGCATTAAAGAGGGTTAAATCTTATTTGAGGTCGCGAATGACAAGTGATCGTCTTAATAGGTTAGCAATTCTATCTATAGAATCTGTACTTACCATAGATATGAACTTTAATGACATTATAAATACATTTGCAAAACAAAACTCACATAGAAAATTATAATTTTCTATAGTGATTAATATAACTTAATATATGTTGGTATAGAAAATGTTTTTTTTTTAATGATCACCCCATATCAAAGTTGACATTATTCTTAAAAAAGGGCGCTTAAAGGAACAGTGCCCCAGGGCGCCAAAAATTCAAATACGTCTCTGATAACATCAGATTTACTCGGTTTTTAATAATCAATGCATTTATAAGGTTTTTGCATTTTTTATTTATCAAGCGAAATCTCTGTTTTTAGCGCATATAAGTTTAACGCAACTACGCATTTAAATATTCTGGGGCTTTCCAATATGGCGTCTTTTGGCTTCAAAAATTTCGAAATTTTATTAGGAGATGCGCTATCCAGTTATTATAGAGATCAGTGGATGGCGCGCAATATTTTTTTTTTTATGTATTTTTATGTATCAGTTTTTTCGAAAAACTCTAAAAAAAATTAGTATTAACTTATAATTGTTATTTTCAATGCGCATAATGCTACTCGTATAAAATGAGGTGAATCATAGTCATCATAGTCAGTATGATTTTTTAATTGTTATAAAGTTCCAATAGCTTATTTGTATGATAATTACTAAGATAATAGTTTCTTGACGATTTGCGTTTTAAACGTGTTCTATTTATTTATGATCACTTTGACATCCTAAATATTGTTTTAAAAATGATTTAATTAAGAAATTTATAACATATATATATAAAAAGGTAGTCTTTTTACCTACTACAAAAAGCTACTAATATTTTTAAACAAACATAACATCAATTTCATAGCGATAAATGGCTAAATCTACACGAGCTCAAACAAAATTAAAATGCCTTAAATTGCACGAGCTATTATTAACTCGAACTTTGTTTATCAGAGTTAAATTAATTTGATTAAAATTATTATAATAAATTAATTTGATTAAAATTATTTAACATAATTTATTTTCTCCTTTAGCAGTAGAATTTCAAACAACAAACGATTCGGACATTGGCAACAAAAAAGCAAATGATACAGAAAAAGCTGACTTTAGTTTAAAAATAAATTATTTAGATATAATTCCAGAGTTTCTCAAGCCGCTATTAGGTATGGGGTCTAACAGAGTTGCTGCAGCGATAGCTATTGCTACTTTAGCTTCTGCAAAAGATGCACATTTTTCAAAGAAAAGTACTGATAATTTGTTGATCACAACAAAATAAAACGAAGTAAGACTAAGTTAATGAAAGAAATCCGAGGTAGAGCTGAAAAAGTAACAATGAGTGATAATATTCAATGTATATTTTGTGATGGACGAAAAGATTTAACTAAATACATGAGAGAAAAGGAATATGGAAAATTACATCAATCGGAAAAAAAAGAAGAACATTATTCAGTTTGTTCTGAACCTAGAGGAAAATACCAATTTCATTTTACTAACAATTCTGAAGAAAGAGTAGAGACTGCAGTTGAGCAAATAGCTGATAATCTTTACGAAAGGATTATGAATCACGATGTTGGAGACTATTTAGTTGCCATTGGTGCGGACACAACAAATTTAAACACTGGTTGGAAAGGAGGTGTTATCCATTACCTTAAACATAAATTGGATAAAAAACTAACGTGGATAATTTGTGCTATTCATACAAATAAGCTACCTCTCCGACATCTTATGCTTCAGCTTGAAGGAAAAACTGCATCTAAAAATAACTTTTCTGGTTCTATTGGAAAACTTATAGGTAAGGCAACTAGCTTCAAAGTCAAAGATAGCATGAATTTCCTAATGCAATAATAGAACTTGAAGTGATAAAATCGCTATCAGATGATCAAAAGTATCTTTATCAAATTACCCATGTAATTAACGCTGGGGTTTTTCCGGAAAATCTTAAAGGTAAAGAAATTGGGCCACATTCGCATGCAAGATGGTTGAATTTCGCAAATAGAATATGTTTAATTTGGTGCTCCAAAAATGTACTTTCAGTTGAAGAAACATATAAACCATATACTCAAGCAATTAAAACTTCTTTCTTATCAAAGACTTAAAGTTAAAGACATTGTAATGTCGTATGTTTTATCTTCTTCATGAAATGCTCATAGTGAAAATGTTCTTCAAACATTGTTGAGTAGTCTTCAAGCATTGTTGCGTAGTCTTTAAACATTGTTGTGTAGTCTTCAAGCATTGTTGTGTAGTCTTCAAACATGCTTGTGTAGTCTTCAAGCATTGTTGTGTAGTCTTCAAGCATTGTTGTGTAGTCTTCAAACACTCTTGTGTAGTCTAGAAAAAGCAGAAAGACAATTTGCAGTTGAAACAATTTTAAAGTTTAGAGGAGATTTAAAATACGGAAACACTAATGTGAGAAGTAAAAAACATCATATTCATAATGAAAATGCTGAATCACTTTTTGACCTAGTTGATTGCAGTTTGGATGTGCACGAACCTTTACTTACATGTTTGTTGTCAAAGGGTGAACTTTTAAAATACAATGATATTCCGATGTGTGTACCTTGTTTTCCTGTTCATGGGCAAGCTATTGAACGATGTGTCCAAGTAGTCACAAGAGCTTCTCAATCGGTGTTTGGAAAAGGTATAAGAGATAAGTTCATCAGAGCAACATTAGCACATCGAGAAATCATGCCAATAAACCAATCAAAAAAAGGTCTATTTTTTGTATGACTTTATGAACAGTAGCACCCAAAGTTATGTTTTATTTTAATGTCTATATTATGCCTTGTTGTTTTTTGATGATTGTATCGCCATAGGCTTATGAAAAAAAACAGAAAAGTGCTAATTTGATGCGTTTTTTGTAAAACATAAGATGAACTTTTTAAGAAAAAATAAAATATTCACGTCTTTTTTAATATCCTAATACATAAAAAAAATATTGTGCGCAATCCCATTTCTAACATTTATATATAGATATTTTTTTTGTAAAATCCATAATGGTAGACATTTTTTCATACGTCTACCGTGTTTGTATAGCATTAAGAAAAGTAGAACCAAATATTATATTTAATTTTATGTCTATGTTATATCTGATTGTTTTTTAATAATTGCCTTACCTTTGGCTAATATAAAAAAGGCCGAAAAATGCCAATATAATAAGTTTTTCGTAAAACTGACATTTTTCAAACGCCCTGCGCCCACAATAGGTGAACTTTTTAAGAAGAAAAAAATTTATTCACGTCTCTTCTAATATCCTAATACATAAAAAAAATTATTGCGCGCGCTCCCATATCCAAAATTTTAAAAGTAAGACCTACCCTAATGGACGTTTAACCGATTGTTATAGATCTGAGGCGCCGCGAGTAAACAAAAATCTATGCGAGTTATAATTTTTAGCGTCATTTTTCTGAATAATTTATAAAAGTAAACCGACGTTTTTCCGATAATTTCATTAATACGTCCTTGGTAGCATTCAAGAAATTAAATTCGCAAAACCTGCTTCAAGCCACGGTTACGTGC